AGTCCTGTTTCTGCCCTTTATAAAGGAAAGTGTTGGGAGGGTATTAGAGGGTGAAGGAGGCTGAGGGAGGTGATGCCAGTCAACACTTAAATTAGCAGTATATGAACCTAAAATAGGGCCTAGATCTTAGTGGATGCTTTAAAAATTTTGAATTAAATATTAAAATAGTAAGGAGTACACAAATGTTCAAAATCAATGCCTCTCCAGAAGGGTCATCTAGGATGATGACCATCCATTTCTTCCTGAATATAAATGCCATGCGAGTCACAGGCGGAGGTTCAGGGAGAAGGCGGGGAGCAAAGGTTCTCTCTTCTCTCCTCTCCTCCCCACTCCTCTCCTCTCAGTCCGCAGCGGTTCAGCAGCTCCAGCGGCAGCATGACGGTGAGCACCAGACCCCGAGGGAAAGCGGAGGGCAGATATCTTCGCAGGTTCCCGAGGCGGAAGCAAGAGGAGGAGGAGGCCTATATCCTGCAGCACCCGCAATTAGAAGAGGAAGAAGAAGGAGAGAAGACTGAGGGACAAGAAGAGCCTCTGCAGCACCCGGGGCCCCAGGGTGAGGTGTGAGAGGAGAAGTCACCCCACTCCCAAGAAAGTTCACTTTGCCTTTTTGCCGGAGAGTTACGTGCCCCTGGAGGAGCAGACAGCCGGAGAAAAGCCCAAAAAAGAAATATCGGAAGAAGCTCAAGAAATATGGCAAGAATGTTGGGAAAGTGATCACTAAAGGAAGCCAGTACTTTGCCATTGGTTTGCAAGGACTTACCACGGCTTACTCATCATCCTTTGCAGCGTCACCCACCCTCCTTTCCTTGGTTCACTAAAAGAAGTCACGGAGACTGTACTGTGAGAGAACGTTGACCCTGCCGCCCTGGGAAGAACACATCATGGACTTTGACTCAGAAACTACTTGGGACTAGAGAGAAAAAACACTGACTTTTTCTTGTGGAGGTGGATGAGAGGTGTTAATGAATCAGTCCCTTCCCTGCTTTCTGGTGCTTTTCATCTTTGGAGTGTCCTGCCATCAATGGAATCCTGGTCAAACGGAAGCAAGTGCAATGAAATATAAGGCCAAAAAGATGAGTTGAGGTTTCTCTCAGAGAAGATTCGCAGTTATAGAAAAATTGGTTTGCTAAATCCTGAGTCTGTGGCTCAGTAGCCTGAAGGAGAGCCACGAGAGAGGCAGAATCCAGGAGGGTCAACTTAATGGGAAGGAGACTCTCAGTGAATTAAGATGGGGAGAAATTTTGGGAGGGAATTGGATGCTTGGTGATCCTGAGTGAATCTTGAGTTGATAATACAACTTTTACCCAACACCTAGAATCCTATTGTTCCAGAAATTCCTGTGCAATGCATCTTTATAGCTGCCCTCATTTTGAGGAAAGACTTCTGCTAGTTTTTTCTGTTGCTGAAAGCTTAGTTACCATTGTGAAAAACATAGAAGGGACCAATGAATTTTGAAGAATGAGAGATCTTGAAAGCAGCATTCTTGAATTTGATATTATTCAAATTTAAGAATGATCGACTAAGTATCTTTTTGGCTTGAAAGGGCTATTGGCATTGAATAAATGTATAAAGGTGAGATCAGTACAAAGCCTGGAGGTTTCAGGAAGGTCACTCGTTGTTTGACGGGCTCCTGGTTTAATCTGAAGGTTTGCTCTTGGCGTTTTACCAGTCCAGCCCGGCCAGTTTAAGGCTGGCGAGACCTCTATAGGAACAGCTCCATTAGCTTTCTGATTAGTGCATATGAAATGCCCAACCGGGGATGCTAAATTTCCCTTTTACTATTCTTCTGCCATTTCTACTGGAAGTCTCTTGTTTTTACTCTCTGTTGAAGGTAGGATAATAGAAATGAAAGACTGAGATAGTTTGGATTGGAAACGAGTTGGGGTTGGGTTGGGTCAGGACAGGACAGTTAAAACAAGGGGATTCTGCTTTTCCATTCTGGAAATGGTTGAGTTGAAGAAAGTAACAAGAAAGTAGAGGAGAGACAGAGATAGAGAATGAAGAGAAGAGAGCAAAAGAGAGAAGAAAAATGAAAGATAATAGAGAAGTAAAAGAAAGTAATGAGATTGATGGGAAAAGGGAAGTTAAAAGTAAAGGGTTTGTCTTTATTATTAGTAACCAGAATTTAGGATCTTTGAAGAATCATGCTTCATTATCAGTCTTCTGGGGTTATGATTGGTCATTACATTGGTACCAGAGTTAAACATTTTAAAGTTGTTTACATTATTATAAGAACCACATATTTTTTTTTCTGGTTGTACTCACTTCATTCTGTATCTGTTCATGCAAGTCCTGTCAGGTTTCTGAATATTTCTCTTGTGTGTTTGTACACACACACACACACACACACACATACATATATGCATGTTTCATTACAATCATGTATCTTAAATTGTTTAGCCATTGCTTTTATCAGCACTCACTTTGTTTCTAGTTCTTTACAGCAACAAAAAAATGCTATTATTTTTATACACTTCTGTACAATTCTTCTGTCTTGAATTTGCTTGAGTTATATGCCTAGTAGGGGCTTTAATGGGTTATTCACAGTTTAATAACATTTCAGGTTATAAATTGTTTCCTAAATTGGTTGGATCACTTCATAGCTTTACCTAGAGTGCATTACTGTGAGAATTTCCCCCCAGCCTCTCCAACAATTCTCATTTTCCTTTTTCTGGGCATCTTTGCTAATTTGAAAGGTGTGAGATGGAAGTTTAAGATTATGTTTATATGAATTTCTCTTATTTTTAGTGAATGGAACAGAGAGAGGATGAACTGGGAGCCATGTATTAACAGACATGGTCAATGTATGAATTTATTTTGCTTGACTATCCTTAATTGTTATAATAAAGAGCTTTTATTTGAGAGGAGGGAAGAATTTGGAGGGGAGAGTGAGTTGGTAGCAATAATTGTGCTCAATAAAGGAGACAATAACATTAATGAAATATTTAAAATACACAAAGAACAGCAGAGGGAGTTTCAGAAAAGCAGGGCAGTTTTGTTTCTATTATTCAATTAAAAATTAATATGCACTTAAAAATATACATGATCATTTTGTAGTTTCATGTTTGCTGTTCATGTTTTTTATTTTGTTAAGTTCATCCAAAAAATGGAAACAAAGAAAAGAACAGATTACATATGTTTGAAGCCTAGCAATGCAGGAGGCAACATAGCATGGGGCAGTGGGAAAGGCTCCTAATTTTTAATTAGAAGACCTTGGTTTACATACTAGATTTATAATAGATTTACAATTCACTACTTGGGTTTACATCCCAGATTTAAAATAGATTTACAATTAACTGCCAATTAACTAATCGATTAACAATTTACTTAACTTCTTTGGATCTTACTTTTCAAATCTGTAAAATGAGGGCATTAGATGCTATAATTTCAAATGTTACTTCTTGTTCCAGATCTATGACTGTATATTAGGTCCTTTAATCAAACCAATTGTCAAAGTAGAAATACCCACTCTCGAGCTTTTGGAGTACTGTACACTCCCTGTTTGCAAACTGTTGTGTTAGTAAGTAATTTTGGAGCTTCTCTAAACTAACATGTCACTTTTGGTAAATTCTGGTGAGCTTACTGGTTGTGACATAAAGAAATGTTATTGTCAGCTTATTGAGTGAGTAATAAAGAAATATTCCCAGATTTCTGACAGTCAATTTTAGCCAAGAGAAATGATATCCCTGAAAAGTGACCTTCTTTTAGTAAGTCAGGTATCTCTGGCATAGTATTTGCATGTGTGTGTTTCTTTACTCCTAATGTTGTTGTTTAGTTTTTCAGTCATGCTTGGTTCTTCATCACCCTGTGGACCATAGCATACCTCTACTGTGCATTGGGTTTTTATGGCAAAGATAGTGCAGTGATTTGCCATTTCCTTCTCCAGTGGATTAAGGCAGTGATTAGGTGACTTTCCCAGAGTCACATAGCTAGTAATTGCCTCAGGCCAGATTTGAATTCAGGACTTCCTGACTCCAGGCCCAGAACTCTATCAATTGCTCCTAATACCAAAGTATATATAGACAGTGGTTGAGCACTCATAGAATTAGAGATTTTCAAAGTTGGAAGAGACCTTTGGAAATCTTCCTGTTTAAACTATATTTGATCAGGAATCTTTTTTACAATATCTCTGAAAAGTGGGTATCTTGATAATCATTAATCACTAAGGCAGGACATTTGTCCTTACCTTGAGCCTAGTTACATTAAGTCTGATTTATGTTTGTAACTCAGTCATTATTCCTAGTTTTGCCCTCTAGGGCTAAGCAGTTGTCTCATCCTTCTTTCATGTAATACGCCTTTTATTCCTTGAAGATAGTCTTCACATACTCCCTAAGCCTTTCCTTCTACAGAATAATCATCACCAGTTTTTTTCAACCAATCTTAATGTAGATGTGGTCTTGAAGCCATTCACCATCCTGGCTGCTCATTTTCAATTACAATCCTAAAGTCTAGTTTTCCAGAGCAGAACACACTGGTCTGACTAGTATGGAGTACAGCTGGTTTCTCAATTGATACTTTCTGCACTCTGCTTCCTTACTTCAATCTATGATTGATTTTTTTTTAATTAACCAGTATTTACATAGTACTTTAAGGTTTGTAAATCATTAAGGACCAGAGGGCTTGGAATATAATATTCTGGAGGGTAATAGAGCTAAGATTACAACCAATAATCATCTACCCAGCAAAACTGAGTATTTTCCTTCAGGGGAAAAAATGGACATTCAATGACATAGAGAATTTTCAGGCATTCTTGATGAAAAAACCAGACCTGAATAGAAAATTTGGCTTTCAAATACAAGACTCAAGAAATGCATAAAAAGGTGAACAGGAGGCCCCCTCCCCTTACCTCCTTCTCTGACTCTTCACCCTTCCCTTTTTATCCCTTTCTTCTTCCCTTCCCTCCTATGCCTTTTCCCATGCCCTCCACCCCCTTTACTCCCCCATCTTTATCCTTCTGTCCATTCTTTCTCCTTCCTCCCTTCCCCAGCCTAGACAATGGCATGGAGGAGATGGCCAAGGAGGCCACAGAGTCACCTGAAGCAGTTATCATAGGGCTGTGCCAGGACGTGTTCTCCAAAATGGCCATGTACCTGACAGGTGAGCTGATAGCCACCAGTGAAGAATATAAATTTCTGGAAAATATGAACAAACTGACTAGCTTGAAATACCTAGAAATGGAAGATATTGCAGTAAACATAAGTAGAAACCTAAAAGATTTAAACCAGAAATATGCAGCACTTCAGCCTTATGTGGATCAGATCACTTTTATCAAGGAGCAAGTAGCAGCTCTTGAGCAGGCAGCTTACAAGTTGGATGGATATTCAAAGAAACTAGAAGGGAAATACAAAAAGTTAGAAAGGTGATGAAAGAATTCTTTAGCACAAAGACTTTTAACTGCAAGAATGTTTCATAAGAGCTTAAATAAGTGGGATAGAACTTATCACTATGCTTCAGTTCCTAAAAGGAAGTGGTGCTACTGATCCAAGTAGATCCCCAGCCCCCATCTTTGGTTGGGTGTGTAACTTTTGCCTCCCCCTGCTGTTTTTCTAAATCTGTAGCCCCTAGAACCTCATCTTATCATAGGCTTCGTTGTGTGCCCTGGACCAAGGCTTAGAAATCAGGATCAACCACATCTAGAGCAGACATAGCTGAGAGGCTCTCATTTCCCTGTCTCTTCTGTCCTTCTCTTTCCTCTAGGGTTCCACCCCACAGCCTTCATAACCTGTTCTTGAACTTAATAAATGCCAATTTATGACCCTCAAAAAAAAAAGGTAAACAGGAAAGAGAAATCATAAAGGACTTAATAAGGTTAAACTGTTTACATTCCTGCATGGGAAGATGATATTTGTAACTCATAAGACCTTTCTTATTATTAGGGCAGATAGAAGGAGTATAGATAGATACATAGATAGATAGACAGATAGATAGATAGAGGGCACAGGTGTAAATTGAACATGAAGGGATGATAATCTAGAAAATAAAATTAAGGGGTGAGAGAAGAATGTACTGGGAGAAAGAGAAAGGGAGAGGTAGAAATGAGTAAATTATCTCACATAAAAGAGGCAAGAAAAAAAATTTACAATGGAAGTCAAGAGTGGGGAAGTGAGAGGTAGTGAGGGAGCCTTACTCTCATCAGAATTGGCTTAAAGAGGGAATAACATACACACTCAATTGGGTATAGAAATCTATTTTACCCTACAAGAAAGTAGGAGGTTAAAGGGGATAAGAGAGGATGGGGGGGGTCCCTAGAAGGGAGGACAGATGTGGGGAGAGGGTAGTCAGAAGCAAAACACTTTTGAGGAGGGATAGGGAAAAAAAGAAAGAGAGAATAGAATAAAGGGGGGGATAGGATGAAGGAAAATATAGTTAGCAATAGTAACTATGAAAAAATTTTGAAGCAAGTTTCTCTTTCGCCTATTTCTCAAACATGTAGAGAACTGAGCCAAATTTATAAAAATAAGAGATGTTCCCCAAATGATAAATGATCAAATGATATGACCAATTTTCTGATGAAATAATCAAAGCTACCTATAGCCATATGAAAAAAATACTCTAACTCACTATTGATTACGGAAACACAAATTAAAACAATTCTGAGGTACTACCTCATACCTATCAGATTGACTAATAGGGCAGAAAAGGTAGATTACAAATGTTGGAGGGAATATGAGAAAAATGAGACTTTACCGTACTGTTGGTGGAGTTGTGAATTGATTCAACCTTCTGTAGAACAATTTGGAACTATGTCCAAAGACCTGTAAAATGAGTCATGCCCTTTGACCTATCAACACCACTACTAGGTCTGAATCCCAAAAGAAATAAAAACCAAAAACAAAACGGACCTATGTATCCAAAAAATATTTATAACAGCTCTTTTATGGAGGCAAAGAATTTGAAATTAAGGGGTTGCTCATTAGCTGGGGAATTACTGAACAAGTTGTGGTATGTGATTGTGATGAAATACACACTATAAAAATGATGAGCAGAATGCTCTCAGAAAAACATGGAAAGACTTGCATGGGCTGATGCAAAGTTAAATTTACTTTGTATAAAGTAACAGCAGCACTGTAAGATGAGGGGCTGTGGATGAATTAGCTATTCTCAGCAATACAACAATCCAAGACAACTCTGAAGGACTTATGATGAAAAATGCTATCCATACCCAAAGAAAGAACTGATGGTTCTTTGAATCTTTAAATCTTTGAAATAGGGAAAGTAGGAGGTATGGAGGATCTGAATACAGATTTAAACATACTTTTTTTTTTACTTTCTTTGTTTTTCTTTAGGTTTTTTTTGTCCATGTTTTCTTTCACAACATGACTCTTATGGATATGTTTTGCATGACTACACATGTATAACCTACATCCAATTACTTGCTTTCTCAATGAAGGGGTGTGGGGAGGAAATAAGGGAGAGAATTTAGAACTCACAATTTTAAAAATGAATGTTAAAAATTGTTTTTAGATATAACTGGGGAAAAATAAAATAATAAAAAAAGTTAAAAAAGAAATAGGGAAAGTAGGAGGTATGGAGGGTTTAGGGGAACAGATATTGAAATATGTTTTGAACATGTTTAGTTTAGGATGTCTATTGGACTTGCATTTTCAGATGTCTGAAAGGTAATTGGTGATGAGGAACTAGAGAACAACTGAAAGTTTGGGTCTAGATTTGAGAATCATCAGTATAGACATTATAATTAAATCTATCAGCAAATGAAGTAGTATGCATGGAAAAGAGAAGAAGGCCCAGGACATAAATAGGAGGGACACCTAGGTTAGAATATGTGATCTGTATGAGGATCCAGCAAGGAGACTAAGGAGTTCAAATAGGAGAAAACAGGAGGATCAACAAAGAGTGGTGTCCCGGAAACCTAGAGAAAAGAAATTATCAAGGAGGAAATAGAGATTGAATGGTGTCAAAGGCTGTAGAGAGGTCAAAAAGGATTGAGAAAAGGCCATCAAATCTGGCAACTATGAAATCATTGGTAATTTTGGAGAGAGTAGTTACAGTGGAATGATAAAGTTGGAAGCCAGTCTATAAGATGCTAAGAAGAGAATGGGAAGACAGAAAGTGCAGGCACCTATTGTAGTCAGCCTTTTTTTGGAAAGAGTGGAAGAAATATACAGTGATAGCAGAGATAGAAGGATCAAGTGAGTTTTTTTCAAGATGGGGAAGACATGGATATAGTTTTAGGCAATAGAAAAGGAGCCAGTAGACAGGGAGATTAAATACAAATGATAAACTCTTGATATTAGAGGGGGCCATTTATTGTAGGAAGCTAGATAGAATGAGATCACTTGAAAAGAGAGGGATTAGCCTTGGTAAGATATAAGGTCACTTCATCATAAGAGACAGGGAAGAAGGAGAAAAAAGTGACAAAAAATATCTGAGTAATTGGAGATGAAGAAAATAGGAGAAGAGACAGCTCATGAAAAGGACCTCATTTTTTTCTGTAAAATAAGAGACAAGGATCTTAGTTAAAAGTGGAGGGCAGGGACACCTTTGGAAGAGCTGTTGTGGAGACTGGGAGAGTTGATAAATAAAATAGGATTGCCTAACAGCAATGAAAGCCCACTCAAATGAAGTTGTAATGTAAATTTGTAATGGACCCAGTCAGAATGTTTGCATAATAATCTCCACCTTCTTTCGGTAGCTTTTGTATGAGAGCAAATGCACCAAATGGTGGGAGGGATCCCGGACTGAAGCTTAGCAGGGAGTGATTGGCAATATGATAAGGGGACTAAGGGATTCAAAAGGGGAAGACAGTGTAGAGTTGAATTGGTTCACCAATGGGTCAAGATGCAGAAAAGAAAAGAGAATGGCTAGTGCAAAGAAAATGGCCAGGGAGAGAATTGAGGAGTCAAGTGTTTCGAGACCAAGATGCAGATGAAGAATAAAGTTTCATAAGGAAAGGTGAAAAACCTTTAGGTTATGGTTGGATAAGGATATTTTAGAATCCTTTAACATGGAGGTGTTATATTTATGGGTGATGGCAATATCATGGCAATATTGTCTTTGTGTGTGGCTGGGGGTGGTGGTAAAGGAGTTTATCATGGGTAATGAGTAGCTTGCAGTGAATAGAGTGGTGAGAAGTTTGAGAGAGAGTCAATATGTAAGTTAAAGTCTCCTAGTATGAGAATAGGAGTTGGAGAGGAGAGAAAAATTGTGAGCCATATACTGAACTCTTTGAGGAAGGAAGGAGAATAACCTGAGGGTCTGTGGACAATAGCTACCAGGATTTTGATTCAGTAGTAGATAGGAATAGCATCAACCTCAAAGGAACAGTGGTTACTGAGTGATGGAGTTAGAGGAAGAACTTGGAAGTGATGATGGGGAGCAATACAAAAATAAAATAAAAATATTATCCATGTTTTACTGTATTTTTATTTATCCCGATTACAGTTTGTGAGTCAAGTGTTTGCTACTTCTGTGAGGAATATGGTTATTGATTCTAGCCTAATAGATAAATGACTGCATTTATAACAAATGTGACTACTTTCATGAGATTCATTCTTTGCACTATGTTGGAATGTATAGGTTGTTCAGAGAGGACTAGCACATCTGGTGTGAGGGCTTGCTGAACCCTTTTCAAGGGCTTCTCACCTACCTTTTGTATCTACCTTCCATCCAACTCTCACCTGTGGCTCCGAGAAGCTGCAGCATGTGCAGTGACTCTATCCCAGTAAAACTATCTCAGCAGATGGGCTAAACCAGGTTGAGGACAACTGACAGGCTTCAAACCCACTGATTTGTTAGAGGTACAGCTGCCCCAAGCATGTGAAGACTTTCCCCAGTAGGATGGGCAGATGTGGCTGAAGCAGGATCTGTGGAGCACTTGGAGCTTGGTCAGATATTAAAGATATCATCCACTTCATCCCAAGCATCTTGACTTTTGTTTTGCCATTGCACTTAGATAACTCTGGAAAAGAGAATGAGGCTGATGACTTTGTACAACTCTGCCTCACTTAAATCTGATTGGCAAGGCATCATCCTGTGATGTCATTGGTCCTCTTCCAAATAAAGGATAAACAATGAGATGGGACCTAACTGTGAAGTAGAAATCATTCAATACATATTTATTTAGACCTAGAATTTATTAAGACCTATAAAATAGGTCCAGTAAAATAAGCCAGGGGTTAAGTATTGTGATTTCAAGTATAAAAGATTCCAGCCCTCAAGGGACTTTCATTCTATTGAGGGAGCACTATACATTTACAAATAAATGTGTAAGGGTGGGGAAATTTGGCTCTTCTGACCTTGAGGCAATGTGATCACAGAAAGCAAAGAGTAGATAAGAGAGGGTTATGAGAAACTAATATATAAACAAAGCGTCAACTCCCAGTGATCTCTTTATGAAGTCTGT